GGTGAGGGTGGGGAGGTAGGTTGGAGGAGATTTTTTTTTCTCAAGGGGGCTTTAATGGAAGATGTTGTCAGCACAATGGGCTGGTCTTCAAGGGGATGGGTCAGAATATTAACATCCCTCTGTTTTGATTATTATAAAAAGGTGAGTTATGGTTAGCAAGTGGGATAGAATGAGGGCGCTGAATTCTTGAGAGTGCTTCCTGCTCACAAAGGGTGAAGGGGGAATGGGGAAGTTGGGGTTGCGCATGGTGGGAGGTATGAGTGAAGAAGTATTCAGTTAGCTGTCGTCATGGAGATCTCAAGCATGGCAATCTTAGGCATTTGTTCCTTGAAGGAGCTGAGATGGTCGGTTGAAGCAATGATGTTCCAGGAGCTTGGGGGAGTGGCACACCAAATTAGGAGTACAGGAGCCATCACATCTGCTGGAGGTGGAAATGTCTCTATTCATAACAGAATTTTTATCAGTGGGCATGTGGGTGAAATTAAATTGTCAGTGTTCACCCAGATGGCATCCTTGTTTGGTGGTTGGCATCTTCAGTGCTGGTGCAGAAGCTGCCATATCTGGAGGACCCCCTGTGGATTGGACTTGGCATAGTCTGGCAGGAGATGTGAAACTGCAAAATATGCATGAATATGGGTGGGGTCGAAATGGGCTCTGGAGACTGATAGATTTTATCAGACCAGATTTCTTGATACAGTAGCAGAACATTTCCCAGGAACCTGCAGGTACCTGTAAGACAACTGGAACAGATCTACATCTTGGTGTTATAGCAAAAGTCTATGGCTTTGGTTTAAAAGCCGTGAATATTTCCTGGCTTCAGCACAATGAAACATGTCTTTAATCTATAACTGTAGGAAATTTACTGAATGGAAGTAGTTGAGTAGTGAAGAAGAGGGGAGGCTTCCCTAAAGGTCTGAGGAGAATATGTAAGTGAATAGAAGTGAGACAGCTTTCCTATCTTCATATAAACAAACCTTAAAGCTGTTTTTTTAAATCTAATTACCCAGGAGATACTGAGAGCAGTCAATAGTAAAAAGTTACATTGAAATCTGTTCTATGCAACCAAACCAAACTAGTGGGAACTCATGAAACTCAGATCAGCAACTGTGGTGCCTGCATGGGACTGAACTAGGCCCTTTGCATATCAAAACAGTTATGTGGCTTGATCTGCTTGGGACACCCCTGGCAGTGGGATCACAGTCCAAACCTGGTGCATGAGCAGGCTTTTTGGAGCCCACTACCTATGATGGCACACCTCTCACAGCCTTGAGGCAGAGGCAGGGGTTTGGACCTGCCTCCACTATGTGTACCTCCCCATGGGAGGCATTACCTTCTTGTAGGAGGGAATGGGGCAATGGGTTGGCAAAAGGAGGGTAGACAGTTGGAGCAGGGAAAAAATGGATCTTTGATTGGTATGTAAAATGAACAAAAAATTTTCCTTAATTAAAAAAAAAAAAAAACGAAAAAAAATCTGTTTTATGAGTTTATCTGATCTGGTAACAAGGTAAATTGTGTCTAGACCTAGTAGTAGCCCTAGGAGAGGGAGACCTGTGAATTTTATAGAGAGAAATGAGAAAGTAGCTGAAGCAAAGCCTGGACGTCAAATGGACAAAGAGATCTAAGAAGGATAAATTGTATCTGAGTGCAGACCAAGCAGCTTTTAAATCTATTAAAAATGACAGGGACCAGTCCATACCCAGTTAGCCATAGCCAGAACTAAACATTGTTAGAGGCAGAAGTATCAGAACAGCATCAGTCTTCAGCCTCCAGGCCTATAAGGTGGGAGTTATTCCAATGGAAGAGGGACATAGAGTAGACTGATCATACTTTGTCTAGGCAAAAGGAGTGCAATCAATTCTCTGATGTCCTGCTGTTTGTTCACAATCTGGGCCAGATCCTGTCGGCAGGTCCCACATTGGGGCATTGTCCCCAGAGGTCAGCATTGCCATAACCCAGGTGGAGACATTGTGGTGTCTCGTAATCTTCTTTGGGGACCTTGTGTCATTGCTAGGATCTGGGAGTCTTTTATATCAACATTTTAAATGTCATATTCTGCAGATCTCTGTGCATTGGAGGGCTGTCTGTTCATTAAGCATGAATGACTGATTATCAACTACTATTCCCTAAGTCTCCAAGGCTAGGACTTACTGTTCCTGAGAAGGCAAAGAAGAGTGATAGGGGAAAGATCATAGGGCCGAATGGGAACAGAAGAAAAGGGGCTTGTGAGCCAGGTGCAGCTCAAATCTAAGAAAAGGGCCCTCTTGGGGGACTAGAAACTCCATCACAGAATATATATCTTGTTTATTAGATACCCCACTTGTCAAACCTATGACATCATTTATTTAAATTTTCTAGAAAAGATAGGTTTAAATCTCTAAGTTACTTTTTGTTAATCTGAATAACTCTTTATAAATTTAAATTTATATTATAATATAGAGTGTAGTATAAACCAGTGTTGGATCAAATATAGTTTTACATATCTATCCTCATAAAAAAGTCACTATCAATCCAAATCTTTGAAGTTTGTTGCTTACTCTAGAAGGAGACTAGATGAACAGAGAGGTCATCAAGACTAAATGTGTTTTTGATCTTAGTAAACCTTAGTAAAAGATGGTTTCCAGCTATAAGGCTGTCTGCATCATGATGAGGTCACCAGCCAAGATGGAGGAGAGCCATGTGGTTGCTGTATAAAACATTGTTTTTTCCTAAATAGGTAAATCTAAGTCAAAAGGAAGGGAGAAGGAAGAAAGTGGAGAATTTTTTCTCAATTCCCTGACTGTCTAGCCCCAGAAACACTGAGACCAGTCACATCCAGGGGGATGGGCAGAGGCAGGTAGCTCCATCAGAGACCTGAGTGGTGGTATTGAATGGAAATCAAAACTGTGGGTGAATGAGGAGGAGGAGAAGACCTGCCATGGGTGGAGGCAAGTCAGTGGGTCCCTTTGGCAGGCCTTGTCAAGTAATGACACCAAGCAAACATGCCACATGCAGCAGAATTAGTGGAAGAGGTTTGAGGGAGGAGGAAAGCAAGAGGGAAAGACTGTGTCAGAGTGAGGACTTGGGAGGGGCAGGCCCTGCTCACTCACCTTAGCCATAAATGCACAGCACGGTTCCCATGGATGAGAGGGGGAGAGGAGGCACTACATACAGCCTGTAGCCTTGGGCATCGCCAGGGGTAGAGGGAGGACAGAACCAGGACCAAACTGTCAAAGTGGGCCATCACCACACTCAATGGAGGTCAGGCTTAGCCTGACAAACCCAGAGGAATCTCAGCACTAATACTGGGATTTTCAAGGAGACCAGCAAGAACAAAATCTGAGCTCCGAGGGAATCCCATCTGAAAGAAAAGGTCAGGGATCATGTCACAAAAGCCAGAAGGGCCTAAAGGAGCTGTGGGCAGGTCCAAAGGGGGTGTGACAATCCAACTGAAACTTACAATATTGCCGCCGGTGGATGGGGTGGTGAGTGGTTGGGTGAGATGGTGCCTGTTGTGGGTGGACTGGGTATAGGATCCTGGCACGTGAGGGGCTGCCAGGAAGGCCTATCTGAATCATGAAGCACCAATGTTACTATTGTGAAATGGCACTCGAGTGGCCTTAGCAGGTTTGGCCAAAGTGCCCCTCACTGGTGTGTGACCTGCCATGTGGGTGTGGCAGACAATGGCATGGCACGGTGGAAAGTTACTCACACTGCAGATGAGTCGTCCTCATGGGAAGGTTTATTATTAAAGGGAGAGAGGAGAGAGGGAGACAGAATGAGGGACAGAAAGAGAATGAGAGAAAGGGGGTGTGCAGTATCTCTGTCTAGAGGAGAAGAAAGAGGGGAGAGGGTTTTCTTTCCTCATAACTGGGCTTTAAGGTAAGATGACATCAGGACGTGGTCTGGGTCACCAAGGGGCAGGTCAGACTACTAACACTCAGGGCCTTGAATGACTGTTGGATACATTGGATTTGTTGGGACATGGCTGTTTTCAATACATGGGTCCCATTCTTATCTCTTCATTGTCCTCATGGGGGGGGGTAACTTAGTGTGCACTGGGAAAGAGAATCCTGAGTGTGAGTCTCCAGGCTGTAATGCCCTGCAACCACCTGTCCACCTGCTCAATGTGTGTTCTTAGGAGCCTAGAGCCTCAAACATGTCTCAAATTGAATGAACAACTTTTTCCTCTCTGAAGAGGCCTCCAGCAACATGTCCAGGCTCACAAATTCACCATGGACACCCAGTACACCATTCCAAATTCACCAGGCCTCCTCTGGTCCTCTATCTAGCCACTAAACCAACTAATCCTTGAGGTGAATCATCTACTCTCCTCTGCAGATGAGGCATGATGTTCCCGAAGAGTCCCCTCAGTGACAATCCCCACATCTGTCTAGAGTAGTTCTATGTCTTATAGCCATACAGAGTTATAAGGTTCCCAAGACTGGGACAGTGATTCACCATTTCACAGTTCCCTGTAGTTCTGAGTCATCTGAGAATCCTCAAAGAGCCAGGCATATGACAATCCATGGCTGTTTTGTCTTTTTCCTAAACCTGCAATGATTCTTAGAAATGCCTCCATTGCTGTGTCCCCTGCACAAAGCATTCTTTCTGGTCATCTGGTCATCCTACTCTGACATCAGCACAGAGGTCACATGATCCATAGACTCTTTTGGGTGCTCTCTTTGTGAAACATCCAGAGCCTTGTTTTATGATCCACCTACATACCACCATAGTGATGCCTGTGCACAGAACCCCTGCTTGATGAAAACTGTTCCTCTGACATCAGGAAACTTGGAAAAATATCCCACCAGTCATAATGTCTAGCTGTAGGGTCATCAGAAATGATTAGCCTTCTCTGAGCCTCATTTTCTCCTCCTTAAAAATGACTGAAAATAACATATAGGTCACAGATCCTTCACAGGAGTCACAGAGTATGAGTGACAATCTCTGCTATCCTGTGGTCAATAGAGGCCACACCCCTGCCAAAAGGAGCTGAATGAACACTGCCTGGACACTTTCTGTACAGTTGTAGGTTTATTGATCCTTTGCTCAAAGCCCTGCATTTGGGTGAGGAAGGTGGAGGTGTCCATCTCTTGTGTGATGTTGGTCAGCTTGGAACGAAGAAAAAGACTCCTCTGCCCTAAGTAGGTGTACTAGGGGAAGGAAGCTGGTCTGGAAAACCAGCTCCATGCAGCTGCAGGAATGAGGGATCCAACATTGTGTTATATGTCGGGAGGGTAAGGAGCCCCTGCCAACAGTCTCCTCTGTGTTTGAGACATACAATTAGTCACAGTCACTGTCAATTCAGGCATGCCACAGCCAATCAGAACATGGAAGCCAAAATGCACATAGAGAGCCATATATAGGCTTAATCCCTGGCTCCTGGAAAGAAGCTTCACCACTTGGGAAGTTCTACTTTTCATTGGGATTTGAGACTTTGGCCATAAAGAGTGGAGTCTGAGTATTCGTGTCAAAGATAATCATCAGAAATGCCCTGTTGAAATTCACTTCCAGAGGGTTCAAAATTAGAGCCGATCCCACAGCCATGATTCCTGTGGCGGCAGCTGCTTCTGTGCCTGTCTCAGCCACATCCAGCACAGCCTTGTGGACCACCTGTAGGAGAAAGGCATCACTCACTGGAGACCAGGGAGGGCAGGAGAGGAGATTCCCAGAGCAAGCTTCCACTGCTGGCCTCAGCATCTGGTTAAGCTGTTTGTTCCTACAGTGAGCTCCACCCCTGGTGTTTCCAGTTCTCTGCTCAGGGTGTGAGATGAGGCATGTCCTGGGTCTGCCCAGTCTCTGACAATCTGTGTTGCTCTCAAACCCACTACAAACTGGAGGATGAGTCTATATAGGCAATGCCAGTCTTTACTCAACGTCATTTTCTCAGGAGACCCACAGGGAACAGCCAGGGTACTGGCAGCCAGTATGGGCTTCCATATCCCTCTGCTCCAGCCTCCTTGGGACATACAACCATAATGCACAATGTATGGCTTCTCTTGCACAGACTGCCATGACCTGCTGGTACATATCTGAGCCCAGGCCTCTGAGTAGGCACTGGACAGATTACTAGGCATTGCCAGGCTGTGCATCTAGGAAGGTAGTGTGAAGTCCTGAGACATAATCTCCCGCATTCTTAAGCTTTTCATCCCAACTGCCATTTATCCCTTGTTATGTCCTTTACTGCTACTAATCTATGTGCTGGTGGATAAGGACTGGCTAGTCTGCAGTGAAGAAGCTGAGGCTGGAATTGCTTTGTCTTGCAGTAGATTATGGGTGGCACCCACACTGCAGCACAGGGTCATGCCAATGGTGGTCTAACACCAAGCATAGGCTTTTCCCCTAACATGGGTTCCTGGGTGTGAGGTAGAGGAGGGATTGGCTGCATGCTCTCCAGCAAGAATATCTAGATTGCAATCCAGCTCTCTCAGGATGAGAAATCTCAGAAATTCAGGCTTTCTCACACATTACCATTCCCCCTTGCCACCTGGCCTTCACCATGTACATTCAGGTACCAATACGAACCACCCAGTGTATGTTGGCTTACCTTAGAGACTGTCAGGTCCTTGGCCCCTGTGATCCCAGATAGATCAGCCTGTGTGGAAAAGACTTCCCTGATGCCCAGCTGTTGAAGGATGTCCTCTATGCTGTCATCACTGGAGATGGAGAACTTGGGCATGTAGAGCTTGTCAATCATCCTGAGAATGAAAAAAAGAAATGAATGAGTCATTGGAATCTGTGAAACCCTCAAACCCAATTTTAGCTAGGGCAGCTCTCCACAGACAGATCTCTTACCAGAGAGAAGCCCTTTTTCTATCTGGGCCTACATCACATGATTTTGATTTTCCTAATGCATCTATTACCCATCGATGCCTGAGAGTGTTTAAAAGGGCAGGCAATGAAGCTTGGTACCAGCTCTTCCCTTATCCAAAATGCTTTTCTTCCAGATCCAGAAAATGCAGTCCTTCCCTGTCATGTGGACCCTCAAACTTCATCTACTGATCCTTCTATTTAAAATTGCTCACTCCATCTGACTTCAGCTTTCCTTATCCTTGAACCCTCCCCATTTAAATCTCACCCCTCCTCACGTTTAACTAATCAAATAATGATTAGTTGCATTTCCCACATTCTCTTTTCCTCAATTACAAGATGTGTTCTTAAGGGTAAAAAATTTTGTGCTTTAGTCTCTGATATACTCTCAGGGTCTAAATCAGAGCACAGGACATAGTAGGTCTTCAAGTCATCATTCCATGAATGGTGAATGAATGAGGGGATGAGATGGCTACACAGGGCAGAGCTGATTCTCAGAGCTGACCTCATCTAAACCTCACTTCATTCTGCCATCCAAAACCCATTCAAGATTCCCTGTAATTACAGCCTGTTAAACACAGAGGAATCCTCAACTCCTGCTCTAGCTGATGTAATCTTGTGAACAACAAAATGACAATAAAATCTATCTAAAAACTACCGAGTCAGCAGAGGAAAAGTCACCTCCACTCTACCTGTCCCTGCTGACTCTCCAACCATTACACTGGGTATTGGTGTGACTCTGAGGGACAGGGACACTGGGCCTCAGCCCAACAGCAGGATGGAGAGCCAGATCAGCTCTGGTTCCTGTGCGCACACACCTGGACCTCAGAGAATCCTTCCACTTCTTCAGGGTCTCTGGTTGCAAACTGGCTTCCACCTGCTGCATCTTGCCCATATCAGGGAGGATGAACAGGGCACTGGCATTGCCTGTGTACTTTAGCTCCACCACAGAGCAGTTCCCATCCTCATCCCGGAAGTAGGGTGTGGTCAGAAATGTATGGCGCATCATGGGCACCTTCACAGACCTCTTCTCATCCAAGTAGAAGTCAGACTCACGTGTGAAATGAGGCTCAAAGGGCATCTCCCATTTCCCTAAATGTGGAGCAGGTCATCAGATTGTACCATCAGCAGAGAGACCCCACCTCCACCATATTTCTGCCCAGATTATCACTCTTGACAGGAATCAATCCATCTTCAACAACAGAGTGTCCCTTACCTGTTGCATTATCTAGATTAGAAAAAAACCTAGGCAAGTATAGAACTATGAATGAGAATTAATCCACAGGCATGGTTTGAGGAGGGGAACTCAAAACCAAAGCTCTCCTACATGAGATATCAGAAAAAGAGCCAGGAATTTGAGGTTGGGGTGTGTAACAGAGAGATAAGATTGAAATTGGGGAGCCTGGAGCTTGGGGAGTTGAGGATCCCTTCTTCCTCAGGAGGAGCCATATCTAGAAGGCAATGTCTTGTGAGACAGGTTTTAGGGGAAACAGGACAAGAGAGACTGTGTTCTCCCACACAGTGATCTGTCCATGGTGGCCCTCAGTGTGAACCACCTTAATGGAAGTCAGTTCCCAGAGACATGAGTGGATTTAGAGTGAAGCTCATGAGATCTGCAACTTCCCAAAGTTGGATTACCAGGATCCCATAGTTGGGTGGCTGAGACATGGGTAATTTTTCCTCTTCTCCCATATCATCCATTTCACTTCCATGAATCAAAGATGTCCTACTTAGACTTACCCGACATCCAAAGTGCCTGTGGCTATCTGTAATATACCCTGCCGGGCTTGGTACATTCACAATTTCTTTGTCTCAGAATCAAGCAGAATAAACACACATCCCTACCTTATAGTCAATTAGCTGTGGAGTGTAGGTCCTGGGCCCTGCAGTCTAATCCTTCAGGCCATCATTCTGCTTCCCCTCTCTTCAGAGCACAGCCTCTCCTGGGCCATCCTGGACTCCTGTCCTCTGTCCTCCTATCCTCTTCTGTTCATAGCCAATTGGTTTTCTGTCTATAGTCTCAGAGCCTACCCTCCTCTGTCCTATCCTATACAAAATCCAGAGTCCCAGATCGATCCCAGATCTAGCCACATTAAGGTTTTATCAGGAATCATTCTGTGGGCCATTGCCTCCCTCCTTGGTCTATCAGGTAGGGTTTTGTGGGTGTGGGCTGTGGATGTGTTCCCACTAACAATTACCCACAGCAATTCAAGCCTGGTCTCCAAATCCTCTTGCCCCCTAAACCTAGATTCCCTGGCCCAGGAGAGTGTCTTCAGCACTGTGACCTTGAAGGCTGCCTTGGCTACTAATTTTACAAACTAAACTTCCACAAAGCAGCCAGACACTGAACACTGCATGGCTGATCTTTCTTCTCACACTAATGGCTTTGCCCCAGTCCCTGATTTTCCATGCCCAGGTCCAGCTTGATGCAGAAAGGATCAGGGGAGAGGTCCTGCATAGGAATGCATGAAGGGCTCTTCACTTAGCTATGGCACCTGCTACTTTCCCCTTTAGATTGGGTAGCCAGGCTCCTTAGGTCAAAAAGTCCATGACCAGCTGGGGCCTCCTGGAGATGGAGGTTCTCTAGCAGATGGATTCTATAGAAGAATACTCGAAATGTTGGAGTGGGCTGGATAAGGGACTCCTTTGTGGTAGTTTGAATGTAATTGGCCCCCATAAGCTCATAGGGAGTGTCATTATTAGGTGGTGTGGCTTTGTTAGAGTAGGTGTGGTCTTGTTGGAGGGAGTGTGTCATTGTGGAGGCAGGCTATGAGGTCTTGTAAATGCTAAAGATACTGCTCAGAGTCGCAGACTACTTCCCATTGCCTACCAGATGTAGGATTCTCCGAAACTACTATAGAGCCATGTCACCTGCAAACTGCCATGTCCCACCATGTTGATAAGGAACTGAAACTCTGAACTGCAAGTGAGCTACCCCAATTCAATGTTTTCCTTCATAAGAGTTGTGGTGGTCATAGTGTCTCTTCACAGCAATAGAATACCTACCTAGACACAGTCTCTAAAGGGAGAATCCAGGGCTTCTACACACTCAGGACTTGATGTGTGAGCTATGCATACTGTCAGTCAGTAAGTTTAAGTCACAGAAAATTCAGCCTTTAGAATGAGAGCTAAGAGATTCCATGGAGCATATCCTAGGAACCTCAAGTATATCCAAAAAATCCCAAGGGAGAAGTAAGGCCTGCTAGTAATAAGAGGTTAGGCACCCATGTCTCCTAGGCCATGAGCACCTCCTTTCCAGGGGTCAGTGTATGCACCCTCTGCATCCACTCCTGAAACAGCGAACATCCTCACCTTTAAAGTAGATGTAATTCACCAGCACCATTAATGTTTTCTCATCCAGGTCTGAGATCAGTTCCTTGATCTTCCCCTGGGTCTGTTTCCTCACATAGTCATTGATGAGCTTTTTGGCCTCATGAGGCTTCTGGAAGTCAGTCACAGAGGCCTCAGCCTGGTACAGTGCCCTTGCCTTCTCCTTGAACTCTGCCAGGATCTGTAGGCGCTTTTCAACAAATATCATGCTGCCTGTGCTGATATTCACCTGGTCCCCTGGCTGACTGAGCGTGTGGAGGAGGTGCCCAAAGCCCCTGTGGATGTCTGCCTCAGGGGTCTCTGTCAGATTGAACTTGAGACCTTCTAGAATCTCTTCCAGGGTGTTGCTGCTTGCTCCCAGGGACAAGACGGCCAAGGCAGCTGAGATGCTGAGTGGGGAGAAGACAACGTTTTTATTTGGATTCTTCAAAGCCAACTCTTTGTAGAGGGTGAAGGCAAAGTCAGTGTTGATGGAGGCCAGTGTCAGACTGTCCACACGTGTCCCTTTGTTTTGGTCTTCCTGGACTTCAGTGTTTCTTCCCAATGTGCCATCTGGTTCACAGAGAACAGCAGGGCAGAACCCAGCCATCAACAGCCCCAGAGCTACAAAGAGAACCATCTTCGCTGCTCTCCTGTCTGAAAAGAAAGATCTTTTGAGTCTGGGAGGGTCAGGTGATAACCTGAGTATCTCCTTGTTCTTCAACCTTGCCTCTATTGAGTCTTTGTTCTGCTGCCTCTTTCTGCCTCTGTTGTGATGCACAGGAAGTGCTCTGGCCCCTCAGATCACACTACCAGACCTCATGCACCCTGTTTTCCCTGGAGGAAGTGATGCTGTAGTAGCCAGTTTTCCTAATAGAAAACCAGGATCCATAGAGGTGAAGAGATATTCCAGGGTCACAAAGTAAGAAAGAGACAGACCTGGGGATGGGTAAAAGCCTTCTAAAAATCTTAATTTCTTCTTTCCTTTCTATCTTGGTATGAGGACTCTTTAAAAATCAGGGAATACTCTTAATTTGCACTTGTGCCCCATCTGCCATCACCAAATTCTAGTCCAGACTCAGTGAAGGAACCTTGAATTAGATCAGCATCAAATGGGCCATTCCAACTCCAGATGACAAGTTCATGACATCTCACAGCCCTGGGGTGCATCTGGTTCCTGTTTCTGGACATGAGATGGGCTAATTGAAAGAGGAAGATTCTTTCAGCTCTGCCAGGATACACAGGGTTTTTTATCACAGGCTTGGAAGGCTTCCTGACAGGAAGAAAACTGAATGGTGTCCCAGTCTCTCATGCCCAGATCAGATTTCATTTTGGTTGTCAGGATGGCTGTGAGGTGGCAGAAAGCAAATGGGTGGCCCTCTCAGGGCAGCCCGGTGAGTGGCCTAGGTTGTGTTATTAGTGAATGTGTCTGGCTTATTATGGGAATGTGTGGGTGTTTATGGGCAATGTTCAGAGAACCATCTCCTCCATACACACCTGGAGTGGGGATCACAAGCATGCTAGAGACCACATTTGAAAGCTTGAGGTCGTGGTAAACATGGAAGCCAAACTTCAGCCTCTGTCCACTGAATAGGTGAGTTTAGAAGTGAATATAGATGCTAGAGGGAAGGGATGATGGGGAAGAGGGATAGAGAGGAGAGAGGACCAGGTGGGGAAGGATGAGGAGTGAGAAATTGAAGGAAAAGGGGGGCAGGAGGACAGGAGGAGGGAGGCGATCAGATGAGGGAGTCAAGGGGAAGACAGAGGGAAGAGAAGACTAGACGAGTGGAGGAGGAGAATGGAGGGAGCAGGGGAGGGAGGTGTTGAAGCTGATCCACATGTGCCCAGGCCTGTGACATGCCTGCAGAGTGCCATGGACTTCAGCTGCCTTTACCCTGTGTTTGCTGTCAGACCGATGCATCTATTTCTTTGTAAAGCATTCAGCTATATTCTACTGCAAAATCATTTCCCCAGAAAACTGGCTAGTCACTTTGTACAGGGGAAATTTGCCTGAGTGGCTCAGAGGTTGTCTTCTATTCCTAGCTATGAGAGGGTGGAGCCATGGAATCTGTTGGGGAACTGGGATCTCTGACCCCAAGTCTGCTGCCCCAGAGGGACTCTGCAATAACTGTCCTGTCTCCCCTTAGCTATGACAGCAGCACCCAAACTAGACAAGGTCTCGATGCTTCCTCCTTGTGCAGGGTCAGAAGGAGCAGGCTCCATTTACTCTCCAGGAGCATAGC